TTTCTGTTCTGAGTTGAATATTAGCAAATCTCATTTAACATGCTTTCGCAGGTATCGATCAACTAACACTGCCGCGTTTGGTAGAAGATGGCTCTGAAGGCAAGGATTCAACCAAGGACAATGTTGTCAAAACGGAAGGTGACCAGGGAGGTGAATGTCCATCCGCAGCGTGTCCACTTTAAAAGTTTGTGAACTGGTAAAGATAACTGGGTGTCCATCAAGGAAAGAGATGCTGCGGTTGTTACAACAAGAAGGAAACGTCGAAGTAGCGGTGACAACAAAAAGGAGCGGAAGACCCTCAAAAGACGGTTTGTAATTTTCGGTTTCGCTTGTCGCAGCACTTTTGCTTCCAAGCCTCTATCCGTTCAAAAGCCTTTACTTCGACTGCTTGTCTCATCTAGCATAGTGTACTTAGCATCTATTAATTCTACTATTTGCAGGTATATTGAATGGGTATATCGTTGGGAAGGTGCACTTGGTCGTCGTGCTGATGCAGGTCTTTGCGTAACTCGTGCAATGCGAGAAGACCTTCAACGAGCATGGGGTGTTCATGCAGCCGTGTTCTACGATCGGGCACCTAGCTGCGCGTTCAGGTCAGTAGAAAGCACGACTCGCGAAATTAAAACCGTGTCACACTCCATTCTCCCGGGGATGGGATGGGCGTGGCAGCGCACTTCCTTTGACTATGGTGATGGCTGCGCATTCGGTAGAATATTGCCATTTGCTACAGTAGTAACCATGCATATGTCCAGCCCAAAACAGGGTGGATGTAATCGCAAATGCGAAAATTCCACGAAAAACTTTATAGCAGGATTTGTACTTTGCGTCACCATCGATTGAGCGATTTAGGGACAGTACCCACTCCGCGAAATGCCTCCGAGCACCTCATTAGTCTGTATTCGCAAAGAATGTACCACTTTCGTCACTCGAAACTGCGAAATAATGAGAATAATTATCGCAGCCATTGCAACCACGATTACTTTCACTCTGCAAGACAACGGCTTACAAGCGGAATTGCGTGTGTACATAGCGTTGCCTGGAGCGTCGTAGGGCGATTTCCTATGCTCTTGCCGGGAATCGGTTGCACCTAGAATCCTGCTGATTGGGCTTGTCCTCATGATGAACTCGTCCAAGGCGCCGTCCCCACTGCTCACGGCGTCTCCGTTAAGGAGTGTTTTTCGATTCTTTCTCTACTGGGGAGTCACTTATGGGCTACTGGTTCATTACTGGGCAGCTACTACCCGTCACACTTAATCGCTCGAATCGTCTTTAGGCACTCCGGGTGCGTGGCAAGACAATCGTCCGTGCGCCGTAGTTGTGGGCGCGATGTAACCCGCGGCGAGCTGCGCGGCAAAGTGGTTCATGGGCACAGTGGTCCATGTGCTCGTTAGTTTAAAGGAGCTGAGTGTTCCCATCCAAACCTACCATAGCTGGCGATCGGCACATGCTACAGATGGTGGTTATATTAATCAAAATGGGCAGCACGCACAACATCTGTATACTTACAGGCGCGATATCGCGGCCACGCCTACCATCCCACCTACCAGACTATCGTCTTGCACGTCTTCAGCACCCCTTCTTTTCCAGTTCTACATGAACTTCTAGCTCAACACCTTTTTATTTTGGCGGTAACGCAATGGCTTAGACCACGCTGTCCAAGTAGGCAAGCTTGAACACTGTACTATTCATTTTCAAAAAAATGGCCTTTCATTATCACTGCTCTCATCGACTGTTTTATTATCAGTAGCGCCTTTTTCAAGAATCGCCTCCAAATATTACGAAATACGCAAAATCAGGCGCTATTCGGCTTGGAGGGGCATTTTCCACTCCCGCTAGTTCCTTTGGTTCGTTATTGTCGACCGTCGCTTTGGCGAGACCTGTAAACTCCTATAAACCCGCGACATTATTGAGTGAAATACTTTGGACAAAAAGACATTTACTCTTCATGAGAGTGGTTCTAGCAAGTCTGACTGCGCTACCATCTCCACCAAGCCGAACTGCGCCAGAAACTGTTTGTAGCGCAGGTGTAACGCCCGTTAACGGGTGGGAGATGACGTGTCATCTAACACGTCGATGAGACGATGTGTCGTATAACACGTTAATGGTGGGCAAACTTGTGTCATGATCAGTGACCCTTGAGGCACATCGTCATTATTATTGTTTTTGGTGACGTCAGTGACACGTCCTCTAATATCTGGAACACGTCAACAAAGAATGCTGTTTCCAAACAGTCGCCAATCGCTTGCAAATAAAGGGGGTCTGACCTGAAAGGGGGTGTGCAATGGAAACGTAGCTAAAGCGTCCTTCGCCGTGGTAACAAGCTCAGATGACGTTCATTGATTGGAAAACCGTGAGACTACGTCTTCCGGTCCACGCCCCAAACACGTCCTATCGTTTCAGGATCACGACCTTATTTAATAGTATGCGCATACTCTTTTCTCCGGCTAGTTGAAAGGTTTATGCTCAGCGTCCAAGTTTGAACTTCTTGAAGTGCTTCTAGAAATGTCTATCGGTATTTTCAGGGAGTTCTCTTTAAATGAAAAGCACGAATTGTTACTCCGACTTGGTTTGGGGTGCCAATGGACAGGTGTTTGGTGCAGTACCTTCGGAAGATGGTATTATTTGTATTCGGTCGCATCTCAAACTTATATTTCGGTAATACAGTCTTGCTCTTCGCAGACGTTAGGGCGTTTCATGGGGCTGGGTCCGGAGCGTGTGGCCTATTCTACATCAATTATGGTCGCCCGTCAGCTTCCATAATTGCTGGAGAACAGCCTGGCGCCGCGCTAATCCCAGTCCCATCCTGGAAGGCCCCAGCGTATGAAGCAAATAAGGCTGTACAGCTATTGTTTTCTTTTTCGAGTATTAGTCTATGAAACAATTTGCCCAAACTCAAGGACTCCCTATACTTCAGCTACTCGCTTTTCCGTTCGCGATCCATCCACTCGAGAAGTTCGTTTCCGCGATGATCGTCCGTTGTTAGTTATTTCGTCGACATCATGGACTCCTGATGAGGATTTCCAAATCTTGCTAGATGCTGCCAGTAGTACAGAACGACGTGGCAGCGCATCAGTAGGAGCCTGCGTGAGGAGGATGTCACCCTCCTTTTTTCTCATAGTGTGCGCGGTGTGGTTTGCTTGGGAGGGGCATTTCTCCACTTCGCTACTTTCTTTTCTAGATTTGTTGAATTAGATGTTCTTCTTGTTAGCTCTTGTGGATTCTTGGTCAACTGGTAAATATGAACGCATAGGCTCCTCCGGAAACTGACACTGACAGGACAGGTCTTTACAGGAATCATCGGCAGTGATTCATGAGAACCAGCAATGTGGCCCCACCAAGCCGAACTGCGCCATTATTTCATCCTCATTGACAAAATGCTGTAAAAATGATTCGCCAAAAGACCAATGAATTAAAAGTCAACTTTCAGGACACCAGCAACACGGCTTCCTATCATAGTGCTAATAATAACTGGACGTGGTCCATTGAAGGAGTTTTATATGGAGAAGATTCAGAGGATGAAAATGGAATATGTTGAGGTAATTCCGGTGTTAATTACCTGTCTAGATGCTTACCACCGCTACTCAAAACTTTGAATCCGAAGTCCTACCAGCGCAGCTTCAGAAGAATTTGGAAATATGCTATGAATCGTTTGCATCGCATGGCGTCTGCCAATCTGAAGTAGGCCAGGTGGTCCGCGTTGCGGCGATGCGCCAAACTAGTCAGTATTTCCCAGCTAGTCGGCTCGACGTGATATTTTCCTATTGAGTCCATTAGTTTCTGGTGCGAATGCCGCGCACGCGACTAATGCTTGCTACGCCACGCAACGTGGATCTCCCAACAGACACCTATTAGAAAGGGTCAGAAAGTACAATACAGACAGTGAGTGAAAAATAAGAAGCTGAATCACTTAATAAATTTGTACTTGCTGATGACAGAGTCAATATGGAAGGTTTTGAGCAAAAATTTTAGACAAAGAAATAGAAAATTCAAAAGTCAGTGAATTAGCTAAGCGTGGAAATTATTGTGTGAGTGGTGTACTGGCTCGTTGTCACAGTTGGATGGTTCCAAGGCCAATACGGTCGCTATGGGTGCGTCATGTGGAGCCCTTCTTACGTACGTTTTGACGCGGCGACAGCTTGTTTCCGACGGTTCCACTGGGGGCACCTTCTGATGGTAATAGTTGGCGCCGAGCCAGAACCTATGCACGAAGGCAGCCCCTCCCGACGCTTTCGAGAGCACCGTATTTTTGTTTTTTCTACGTGATGATCTGGAACTAGCTTGATTTGTGAAATTCTTCCGATTCAGATCCACACGCCATGGCTAGAGTCGCAGGATTATCCTCTTATGATTGCAACTGCCGATCTTGGAGTTTCACTTCACACGAGCACTTCAGGTATTGTAGTACTGCTTATGGTTAGGGGCACATTCCGCGATAAACGGACTTGCGGGGAAGTGGGCGGGACTCGTTGTTATTGTGCTTTTCTAATTGGTGCGGCCCTCTTTATGGTTCGCTTTGGAGGAGTTACACGCCAATAAGGAAGGCATAGTGGTTATGAGTCTGCGCTCGGTTCTCCGCTCATCCTATCATCGCGAAATCTGTTTTTATTAGCGGTTTATTGACGGGATCTTGAGGAAGCTTGCATTCTCTGCATACTCTACTCATGAAGATTTTAGTTTTCTTACAGGTCTCGATCCTTCCAATGAAGTGCTGATATGTTTGTAGCGTGAAGTCCGGTATTGGCCAATGCGATTCAACGTATTCAGGCGAATTATGCAAGGTGCAACATGGACAGTGTTTTGACACAGCGCAGGATCTCTTCCAACGACCTATAGCTCTTGGCACCAGGGGTTATCCTAACACAGCAAGGTACGACGAAGCTTATTGCAAATTAGCCGCAGTAGTGACTAATTTGACTCTGTGGGGGCAGCATAATAAACTCACTAAGTTACAGGACATCTCTGTAGAGAAGCTTTAGGCTTCTGTGACCCGAAAGTGCTTACTTATAATATTTCCATAAAAGACAGTTGTGCATAAAGTAACCTGTTAATTAACATGACTAGCAAGAACCTAGCAAAGAAATACCCCCCCCCCCCGCGCTCCCTACTTGAAGCAGGCGTCCGCAGTAGCAATCGGTAATTATTAGTAGATTAAGCTTCATTTTGAATCAATGTCTTCATTATTACCAATGATTATTAACTATAATATTATTTACGAAATATCATGAATGAAAACAGTGGTTTAAGACGTGACCAGCCTGGACGTCATGGGGAGAATTGGGCCACTATAGGCGAAGCCAGAAATTCGTAGGCCCAAATCTTGATCACATTTTGAAAGGTTACTGGCAAGTGAACGATTTCATAATACGCGTTGCAAGAGTCTTTTAGTCGGCGAAAGGATGCAGAGTCGCGAGTTTCGATGGAGCACTCAAATCTGAGCTAGTATGTTCTGGTGGTTTGGACTTTATATCTTGGTGGATCTTCTGCAACTGAATCGATCGGGATTCACTGGTGCGAATGACGAGCGTTGAGGTCATTTCCATGCTCTTTCGTTCGTGCAGTGGTGGATCATTCCCGGCCGGCCGTGGCCTGGCACAAGGTATCTAAAGAAGTGGGCAGCCAGTAAATACAATCGCTTGGCCATCCACGTTCGCGTCCAGTTACGGGCCTGCAAGATAGAGTTACCCGTAGCTTCGCTTTCTTTGGTAGAGCAAATTCTTCGTACATTCATAGGCGATCTCAAATTTTCAAGGAAGCCTTAAATGCTCTGTCACCATCCTGGCCATCATGCACCTCTTCTTTTGTTTGATCCACATTGAACTGGCCTGTAATGAATGTATATCCTGATGCTCTGGAGGCAGGAGCACCCAGTAAAGCGATTCGGACTTTTTGATGCTGAGTTTAAGATGCTCACTAAAGAGGAGATTTCAAACCACTCCCCATCCCCCTTCCCCCTCCCCCTTTTAGTCATCGAACCAGGCGTCACGCACATATTTATGCTCACCCCCCGTCACTTTTCGGATCATTAGGCGCTGGCGGTGAATCGCGCCCCATCCTTCCAATGCAAAATATCTCTGCAGGGGATATCCCTGCAGGAGAGTATTTTGGCAGTTGGGAAGGATGGGGAGGAGATGTTGTGTGGCATGACAATGGTGGGCTTTTCAAACATGATCACTTAAAGGCAGTTGGCACGATAGATCCCCACAACGCTAGTCAGTACTTCCGCGTAATAGAATATCCGCGACCCTGTGGGGGCGCTGCATAGCGGTTTCCCGAGGAAGGTGCCCTTATAAGGGCCCTATCAAGCCACAACTTTACGTCCCAAACGCCCGCCACGCCCGCCCGCCCACAAATGGACGACCGTTCCTGACGCTCGTATTCATTCATTTGCTAAGCAAATTATGAAGCGAAGGGATTGGTATGAAGCGGCCTGCATGCATACATGGGTACACATATGCAGCCGTATCTTCGGTAGCGGTGATTGGTAAGATGCCTACGGGAAACTCGTCCGAAATCGATTTACAAGTCACTGAGAACGGAGGCTTTTTCTTCGCAGGATTTTGACCGTTTCACTCCGTTCTTTCGCCATTTCCCCACTATACAGCGCCCTACTAGCATTTTAGGTAGGAAACCATCGTGCCGACTGCCTTTAATCACATCTGTTTTCAGAGAACCGGCAGAATAGCGTCCTGGATGAAGTAGGCCATGACTGATGTGTTGAGCTTTCTGAAGTCCTACAAGACGAGTGTTTATTGTGATTCGCATAGCTTTAAACTGAATCTAATTGTAATTTGTGTGGGCAACTTGTCATTTTTCCATGTTTTTCTTGTTTGAACATTCCTTAGTTGATTCTTGTGATTTCTGCTGAATTCTCGGTGATCTTGGTGAAGTTCCTGCGGTTGCCAATGTCTGTTTCACTCTGTTTTACAATAAAATTGGCTCTGAACAGGATGGAAATGTTTGCCATTGAGTTTCTTCTCAGTCCCGAGCTATCGTGTGCACGAGAAGGCGATCACAACGTTGTCGGCCCACTACGTCATGGTTTTTTCAGACATAAGTCGGTAGGTTATGGGGTTCCAGAGCATCCCTTGTATGGGATTTCTATGCATTTTTGACTGAAGTGGTAAAAACTAACAAGGCAATGCTTTTATTGAGAGAGTCTATGGGGCTTTTTTTTGTTTTTCCCCGGATACTTATGGGGATTCCGCGTTTCTATCGTGTTCATGGGAGCAGTGCCCGCGCCAGTGGTCTGAATTGTCATCTCATTTAGTTTTCTAGGAGCAGTTGGGGCGTATTGGGGCCTTCAGAATGAATCGTTTGGACCTTGCGGAATCAATCCAGCATC